GATCTTATCTATAACGATAGACTGAGGTACTTTTCGTGTCCTATCGAGTCGATAAAGTACTTTTCCTTGCCCCAGGAGTAGCAACGTTCGAACTTTGAAACCCTAGCTAAAGGCCTTGTCCGTGTTATCCGAGGAAGTAACCCCAAGATTTGCGCCTGGGATTTTCAGAAAACCTTCAAAAAGGGTTCAATCCCCTGCTACCAAGATAAGTGCGTTTTGCAGCGTATCATCAATGAGGGGTTTTCCGGGAGCCTCCCTCTTTTCGTACTGTGTAAAATTTTTCGGGAATTTCGATTTTTTTCTAATATTCTTTTTATTCAGGTGAAGCTGATCCGGAAAAGTCCAGTCCCTCGGAGAAAATTTCTAAGCCAACGTTCCGTAATTACGAGCCACAATCCGATATTGCCAATAAACGCGATGACATTGATCTGTTTACTGTTGAAAAAGAGATTGCTGATCAGTTGGCTGATACGGAAGATAGCGGAGCTGTGGAACCAATTGATGTGAAAGCGCTCGCTCCGCGCAAAGTTTGTTTTTTTATTAAAATCACACTCAAATAATAAACATTCGTAGAAAAATCAATATATATGTGTACGTGCATGCGATCTTAGAATGGTATACATAACGATTCACCTTCTTATTTTAAAATACCTTTCTGTTATTATATTACGGTGGTTTTGTACCGTATCATTATCGTTATTATTATCATTATTATTATTATCATTATTACCACTATTGTTATCATTATTATTATTCTTATTATTATTATTATTATTATTATCATTATTATTATTATTATTATTGTTATTCTATCTCTACTTCTGTGTTTGTTATTTAGAGGAGTTGCAGGTTATACATTTAGTTCCTCAACTATTTAGCTAATCGGTTTTTCACTTCCATTGCTGCTTTGATCCACAAACATTTTGTTTTCGTGAAGGAAAATTTAATTATAATTATGCCAGGAATTAATAGTTAAGATTTAATTATTTTAAGATTTGTTAGAATTATTTTGCCACTTTTACTAATTTCCTAATTCTTATTTCGGAATTTTCTCTTTTATTCTCGTTTCTATTTCAGTATTCCTTTCTATTAATTAACTATGAATCAGGATTGCTAAGATTATTATGAAAACCATGAAAATATATGCCAAAAAATACTTAATTAATGATTTACTGATTTAATTAAATCCATGAAATGTTAAGATTTGATTATGATTTAATATTAATTATGCACTAAGATTATGTTAAAAACCATGAAGATTTATGCCATAAAAGATTTAATTGGGGATTTACTGATTTTTAATAAATCCATAAAATGCAGAGGTTTAATTATGCTATGATATTAAGACTTAATTTTGTAGGAAACCATAAAATTCCAGTTTTAGAATAAAACTTATGGACGGTAATCATGTGATTTCTTCTTCTCATTGTTTCTGTGATTATTAAAAATGTTCGATCTGTGGAATGTGATTTTTTTGTAGGTTGATTGGGATTTGAAACGCGACGTAGAAGAAAAGTTGAAAAAATTGGAACGTCGAACGCAACGTGCAATTGCTCAGCTGATACGTGAACGCCTGAAAGCCGGCGAAACGGGATTAGCTGATGCTGTGAGCTCAGGGGCCTACAATCAAATACAGGATGCTTTCGATGAGGATTGACAGTTACGAGAAGCATATGGGGGCGGAGCGGATGTGGGGGGGAGGGGGGGAGGGGGAGGCGAGGGAGGGGTTTCGTCCTACGAGTGAATAGATCAAATTGTAGTTTTCATAAGTTTTCATTACGATGTGAATAATGATTGAAATTTGTTTTTTTTTTTTCGTTTTTTTTTATCAAACAGGGCAGGGGCATGGCATTTTTAATGTGATATGCTACTAAAGGATAAAGGGAAAATGATGAAGTAGAAAAATTGAAGAAGGGGGAGAAAAACGAAGTGGAAAAGGGAAATGAGAATTTGTAATAGATAAGAAATGCTTCGGTCCATTAAGTCGTATACATTTCTTACTTTTACCACAATTGGACCTAGTTAGAGGATGATTATTTACAAAGGAAATTGGAAATTTGAAAAACAACAATTTTGAAACACGTAAATATGAGAAAAAAAAACAGCGATTAGTTTACATATTTAAAAAAAACAACGATTTTTTTTTTACAAACCTTATTTTCATTAGTTTTCCCCACTGTGCCCCGTTTCGTTTAGTTTTGATGTAAATTTTTGCTCCACAGCTAGCTAAATTCAACACGTTTTTTGGAATTCTGACTTGATAGAAACGAAAAAAAGATAACTGTTTGTTTCGTTTGTTTTTGTTTTTATTGACCTTTTTTTGATAGAATTTTTCGAAATTGAGCTAAAATTACGTGGTAATTGATAATTTAACGGTTGCCTGGCAACAAAATCATCTTGTCTTAGCCACTTTCGCCATTAGTATTTCGCTCTAATTTTCCTTTGTGCAATGTCTTCTTGTTTGTGACATTATAGTTGATCGTATTGTCCAAGTATTCCTGTTGGCAAAAGTATTTTTATGCAAAAATTTTTCCATTTTTTATATTATTTAAATATTTTCATTTATTATTTTTATGTTATTCAAATATTAAAAATTATTT